AATTGTCAGCTGCTACCAGTTTAACATTTAGACCATATTCCAAGTCTGCTGAAGAACTGGTAAATTTTGCAGAAGTTTGACTCCTTTTAGAAGTCAATGCACTCCTACTTCTTCACACCATCCTATTTTCTGTCCCCACATGTTGGGTCATAGCTATAACATTTTCTCAAGAACTAGCCTTGGTGATTTTAATCACAAATTCACACTGGCTCTTCAGCCTAGAGGTGGTAATGAGCATACCTCGTAGTGATTAGAGGATCGTAGGGCTGTTCTTTCATCAGAGACAGAGGACCAATGGCAGTTTAGCTTTATGGTCACCAGCCTCAGGTGAGGTTGAGAAGGAGCATCCTCATGATAACCTCAGCTGATACGGGAATTGAACCCACCCTGTTGACATCACTCAGCCATCCAGCTAGTTGGACTAACTGACTCCCTTGAGTGTATAGATATAAGAGATAAAGATTAATGAAGTCAAATGTCAGTCCCGTTCAGCCAGAAGTGGCCCTAGAAACAGTGGATGCATTGCATCATCTTTCAAGATACTGTAGACTGTGGAAAAGCTTTTTTCGATTAGAGGGTAGGTAATTTAACTCCACTATTTAAAAACGAAGTTGAGAGAAAACCATGAATTATTGACCAGTTAACCTGAACATTGGTAGTTCGGAAAATGCAAGCGCCAATTATAAAAGGTTCAAGAACAGAGTACTTGCAAAACTGTAACAGAAATGGACAGAGTCAGCAAGGATGTATGATTATTCTTGACAATCAGTGGAATTTTTCGAGGTTTTGACCTGTAGAGTTGATAAGGGGGAACCAGTGGATGTGGATTACTTGGACTTTCAGAAGGCTTTCCGTAACATCCCACATAATAATTACTGTGTAAAATTAAAGCACATGGAACTTTGGATAGAAAACTGGTTGGCAGACAGGAAACAAAGAGTTGGAATAAACGATTGCCAGCAAGTGACTAGTGGGGTTCTGCAAGAATCAGAGTTTAGACCCTAGCTATTCACATTATGTATTAAGGAATGAACTAAATAACTCCAAATTTGTAAAGAACATAAAGCTGGATGGGAGGGTGAATTGCGAGAAGATGCAGAAATGCTTCAGTCCGATTTGGACAAGTTGTGTGAATGGGCAGATTGCATGGTAGATGTACTATAAATGTGAGGTTATCCACTTTTGTAGAGAAAACAAGAAGGCAGATTAATATCTGAATGGCGATAGACTGGGAAAGCGGAAAGTGCATTGAGACCTGGCTGTCCTTGTACACTAGTTCCTGGCAGCAGGCAGTCAAGAACGCAAATCGTGTGTTGGCCTTCTTAGTGAGAGGATTCGAGTACAGGAGCAGGGATATCTTGCTGTTAATTATACAGGACCTTGGTGAGACTAATCCTGGGGCACTGTGCGCAGTTTTGGTCTCCTTATCTGAGGAAGGATGTTCTGGCTATGGTGGAAGGGCAGCAAAGGTTTCTATGATCTTGGCTGTTGTAGGTCACAATACTTTGTATTATAATGTTGCTGCATTCAGTGTGTCTTGGAATCAACTCTCAAGACATGAAACTATCAAAATGAAGTTGAGTGAGTTGGCAAACTCACGGCACATGTAACATAATGTTAAATGTGAAATTATACACTTTAGTGTGAAAAAAGGGCAAAAGACAGTCATTTTCAAATAGTGATATATTGGGAAATGTGGTTGTACAATGAAATCTGGGTGTCTTGCACACCAGTTAATGAAAGCAGTGCAACAAACAATCAGGAAGGTACAAGGTATATTGACTTTCATTGCAGGAGTATTAACATTCAGAAATTAGGAATGCTGTACTGCAATCATTCAGGGCCTTGGCGATCCCTCAACTGGAGTTTTGTGTGCAGCTTTGGTCCACCTAACTAATGGAAGATATACTTCCACAGATGGAATGCAACAGATGCTCATGAAGCAGTCAAGATAAGGAGCAGAGAAAGTAAAAGTATGGCATTCAGATAGAGGATCAACCGTGATCACATTGAATGACGCAGATGGCTCAAAGGGCCAAATCGCCTATTCCTGCTCCTAGTTTCTATATTTCAGTTTCTATATCAGGCAAGGATTGGTGCTGGGTCTGCTCCTTTTTGTCATTTATATAAATAATTTGGATGTGAATATAGGTGGAATGGTTAGTAAGTTTGCAGATGACACCAAAATTGGTGATGTAGTAGACAATGAAGAAGGTTATCTCAGAGTATAATGAGACCTTGAATAGATGGGCCAATGGGCCAAGAAGTGGCAGAGGGAGTTTAATTTAGACAAATGTGAGCTGTTGCATTTTGGTAATTCAAATCAGGGTAGGACTTATACAGTTAACGGATTAGCCCTGGAGAGTATTGCCAAACAAAGAGACCTGAGATGCAGGTGCGTGATTCCTTGAAAGTGGAGTCACAGGTACGCAGGGCATTGAGTATAGGAGTTGGTATGTCATGTTGCAGGACATAGCTGAAGCCATTTTTAAAATACTGTGTTCAATTCTGGTCACCTTGCTATAGGAAAGATGTTGTTAAACTTGAAAGGTTAAGTAAATATTTACAAGGATACTGCCAGGATTAGATTGTTTGAGCTATAGGGAGATGCTGAAAAGGCTGGGACTTCTTTCCCTGGAGCGGCAGAGGCTGAGGGGTGATCTTATAGAGATTTATAAAATCATGAGGGGCATGGATAGAATGAATACCCAAGGTCTTTCTCCCAGAGTACAGGAGTCTAAAATGAGAGGGTATAGGCTTAAGGTGAGAGGTGAAAGATTTAAAAGGGAACTTAGGGGCAACTTATTCACGCGGAGGTGCATGTATGGAATGAGCTGCCAGAGGAAGTAGTCACGCAGGTACAGTTACAACATTTAGAAGGCATCTAGATGGATATATGAATAGCAAGGGTTTAGAGAGAGATATGAACCAAATGCTGGCAAATGGAATAAATCAGTTTAGGATATCTGGTCAGCACAGACAAGCTGGACCGAAGAGTCTGTTTCCATGCTGTATAACTCTATGACTATGTCACTGAATCCTGGGAATGCAGATCTGACGTGTGATGAGAGAGTGGGTTGTTTGGAAGTATATTCATTGGAGTTTAGAAGAATGAAGGGGACATCACATAGAAACCTATAAAATTCTAACAGAACTAGATAGGTAATGCAGGAAGAATGTTCCTGATGACCAGGGAATCCAGAACCAAGCATCATAGTCTAAGGATTTAAGGTAGACTGTTTAGAACTGAGATGGGGAGAAATTTCTTCACCCAGAGCGTTGTAAGCCTGTGGAAGTCTCTGCCACAGGAAGGAGTTGAGGCCAAAACATTACATTTTTTTCAAGAAGGCTTTTGATATAGTTCTTAGGGGTAAAGGGATTGAAAGGTATGGGGAGAAAGCGGGAACATGTACTGAGCTGAGTGATCAGCAATGATCATATTGAATGGCGGAGTAAGCTGAAAGGGCCAAAAGGCCTACTTCTCCTGTTTTCTATCTTTCACTGGAAACATTCACCCTTTGATCTCAAAAAGATCCATTCCGGGATATTTCCATAGTTTGGGCAGAGGTGAAGTTGCCATCAGCGAATCCCATTCCTCCTGCTTATGGAGAGAGCATGTGATGAAATTGACTAACAACCCTTCTGTGATGGGATTCACTATCATTAAGGATAGCGATGTTCATAAAGCCTCTTCTTAGCATTACTTCTTTAATTGTCCACCACTGTTCATGGTTAGGTACGGAAACTGTAGAGTTGTCAGTTGATCTGTTGGTTATGGGATCACTTGACACTGCTGACAGCTTGCCGTTTCTGGTTTCTGGCATGCATCTTGTCTTGTGGTTTTTAGGCAGGCCTGGTACTATTCCTGGCATACTGTGTTCTGCTTATACTCTTTGGACCTTATGTTGATGATCATGGTAAAATAAGGCAAAGCCAAATGATGAAGTTGCATATTTTGGTAGAGTACAATTCAGCTTCTGATTGCGCTATGTGCCTCATGGATGTGCAGTTTAAGCTGCTAAATCTATGCCAAAGCTAGCCCATTTAAAATACTAGTAATATCACAAAAATATGAAGACAGGCATTCATGTGCATGAGGACTGTGTGGTGCTCCCTCCTACCAGTACTGTCATACATCTGTAACAGTTAGAATGTTGATGACAATGTCATGTAGGTTTTCTCTACATGTTGGTTCTTGCACACCTGTTGCAGGCCCAGTCCAGCAGTTATGTCCTCCAAGACCAGGCTAGCTCTGTTATTGATAGTGCTACTGAGCCACTTGATAACCGTCAGTGAAGTACCCATCTAGAATAAATACTTTGCTTCTTCCGAGTGGTATTCAATATGGAACTTCAGGGAGTGCAGTCAGTGGTAATCAGTAGGAGGTTTCCTTGTCTAGGAGCCTTCATGTGGCCCAAATTCAATGGTAAGGACTTTGAGGGCTGGCCCCTCCTGACTGTATACAATAGTCTTTGGTGGGGTTTTGTCTTAATCTAGTACTTTTATGGTCACTGTTACTGAGATTAGCTTTCTAGTTACAGATTTTATTCAATTGGTTGAATTTCAGTTGTCCCATGCTATGGTGGAATTTCAACTTGCATCTCTGAATCATTAGCCATGGCCTCTGAATTATTTATCTCATAACTTAACCATTTTGCAACTATAACCAGTTCTTAAATGACAGCTGTTGCATGTCATTGCACAAAGCCATCTGGACAGCATTTTCTGTAATAGTAAGTAATTTCTCTGGCATGTGCCCTGATCATAAAGAATGTTTAGAGTCTTTTTCAACTCAAGAAATACATATACCACATATCAATGAGATCTTTATTCCACAATTACTACTTATGATTGTTTGCAGAACTTTAAAAAAATGTTTCTTTTTGGAAAGGATGGCCTTCATTATTTTGGTGGTTGATGACAGGAATAAGAAAAATCCAAATGTCTCATCTTATTTAAGCTGCATCATGTTTGCAATGTCTTTTTTTGTATGTTTTCAGCAACTGTTATCCTTAATGAGCTGAACTGGACAGCTGCGCTGGAGGATGTTTTCAAACGTAACCGAGAAGAGGACCCTTCACTGCTCTGGCAGGTCTTTGGTAGTGCCACGGGTGTGACCAGATATTACCCAGGTATATCAGTGATATCGGACCATGGAATGAAGCCCATGTAAAATTCAGACAGGAACTCCGCACTTACAGATTCAGTATCTCTTAGCCTGCTCTATAAGCTGGGACTCTAAACAGTTATGCAATGGACAACGCTTACATAAACACGATCAGAAGTACAGTACATATCACTTTGGCGTTCTTCTTGTTGAATCAGGGGATGGTATGTTCAAGCCCATGTTGGAAAAAGTTTTTTTTTCGCATTTGGAAATGAAATGTGAGCTCAGTGAAACAGAAAAGCTGGCATCTGCTCCCAGCTCTCACCAAGGGAGGTTCTGTCATGGGAATAAAGCACTTGTTATTTAATACAAGCTATGGCTGATCCAATGATGTTTGATGCTAGCACTTGAGATCCTTCTGGTCATCCCTCAAAGCATAGAGTACATACGCACAAAGTACAAGGATCAGTACATGAAGTCTCTAACAGGGGGAACCAATTGTTCTGTGGTTACTACACTGATCTGGCTGAACATGAGACTCTGCTGCTGTCACTACTTGTCATGGATAAATTGCAAGGATGTTCAGGTTGATAATCAACCTCTTTGACCACATCAGGAACATACTTTCCACCACCATTCAATCCTAAAAGGGGACTCAAACTCAGAGCTCCTGGCTCAGAGTTAAGATGCTATCTGCAGCACCACACAACAATCAGAGGTTCCAACTTTGCTACACTGAAAGTTCATCGAAAGAATACAAAGCTTAATCTGCAGACGTTCACACCTTCATTAAAATATGTGGAATTAAATCCATGTCTCAATTGAAATTTTCTTATTCAGATTTCATCACAGAATTACTTACTTTGCTAACTCTTTGTAACCTTTTTGTGTTCTTTATAGCAACTCCTTGGGGCCTTCCCAATAAGATTGATCTGTATGATGTACGACGGAGACCCTGGTGAGTGGGGGGTTAATGGGAATGGCATGCTGCAAAATCATACTCTGTTAATGTTCAAGACTTCAAGAAAATGATAATGACGTGTGTAATGGAGAATTAATTTAAAACATATCAATAATCTCCTTCCTCTGCTAAACATTACTCGTATATCTTCTAAAGATTTGTTGAAATGTGTTTGCTGATTAGATCAGTGCCAATTACCAGATCAGTCAAATCTCTATTCATTAGCGATGAGCTAGTTAACAGTAATGAGTCAAAGGACAGGGGAATATCGAAATGTGGGAACACAGGTTTGCTCATCCGTTTGCAGATAAACACAGACATGACTTGTTGGGGCAAACTAAATATCTCTGAGAGGATTCAAGGAGGGATCAGTCGGTGTTTGGTATCTTGGTTATGGCAGATAATTAATCAATTTTCATGAAGAATGCCAAAAGAAAGTCTTCACAATTTCCCAAGCACTACACCAAAACCCTCAAGAATGAAGAAAGCCATTCAGCCCTCCTGAAGTGTTCTACCTAGATTCATTCCATGTTCGCCACTGATTCATGGAGTTGTTCCTTCAATCATTCCATCCTCCATTCACTCCTAGTGTTAATCACTATTTTCTGTTTGAAGATGGAATTCTTGATATCAATACGAAAGTTGGCTTTTACCAGTCTCAACCTCTGCCCTCTAGTTCTCCTGCTGCAGCTGAATTCAAAAGACTGCCCTGGGCTTACTGTTTCAATTCCTTTTGATGTCTTGTACATCACTAAGATTATCTCTTTGGTACCAGGCTGAAAAGTCCAAGGACCTTTAGTTTTTTTTTCTCTCAAAGTTCAAAGCCCAATATTCAGGATCAACATCAGTCATCTTCTCTATATTGTCTCCAACACTTAATTATCTTGTTTGCCAGTGATTAGAACTAGACACAGTACCCAAGGTACACTGAACTCTGATCAGAGTTATGTGTGATTTACTCATCATTTCTTCTCCCTGGTTATGTTATTTAACATACCATTGGTTTTTTTGATTTTTCCAAAATCCTGAAACTCAAGAGTAAGTGTGGAAAAATTAAGGATATTAAAGAGAATGCAGATTGATGGTTGAGGAGTGGTACCACTGTGGGAGGCCCGAGGGTCATTGATATGAATGTGGGTGAGACATAAGTGAGGGCTAGGCAAAAGTGTTAAACTGAAGTCCAAGGGTGATGAAAGGAAGCCTTGGTAATAATTGAATGAAGGTGCATAGTCGTAGGAATAACAGCAAAATGGACTATGTTTTAAATGGTAAAAAATTGCAGCTCGCTGCTGTTCAGAAGGACTTGGGTGTCCTTGTTCCTGAATCGCTTAAAGTAGGATTGCAGGTGCAGCAGGTAATTAAAAAGGCAAATGGAATTTTGTCTGCCATTGCTAGAGGGATGGAGTTTAAAAACAGGAAGGCTATGCTGCCGCTGTGTAGGGTCCTGGTGAGGCCATACCTGGAGTACTGTGTGCAGTTTTGGTCTCCTTACTTGAGAAGAGATATACTGGCACTGGAGCGGGTGCAGAGGAGATTCACTCGGTTGATTCCAGAGTTGAGAGGGTTGGATTATGAGGAGAGACTGAGTAGACTGGGATTATACTCATTGGAATTCAGAAGAATGAGGGGAGATCTTATAGAAACATATAAGATTATGAAGGGAATAGATAAGGTGGAGGCATGGAGGTTGTTTCCACTAGCAGGTGAAACTAGGACTAGGGGGCATCGCCTCAAAATAAAGGGAAGCAGATGTAGGACTGAGGTCAAGAGGATCTTCTTCACCCAAAGGGTTGTGAATCTGTGGAATTCCCTGCCCAGTGAAGCGGTTGAAGCTACCTCGCTGAATGTTTTTAAGGCAAGGCTAGATAAATGTTTGAACAGTAAAGGAATTAAGGGTTATGGTGAGTGGGCAGGTAAGTGGAGCTGAGTCTCAAAAAGATCAGCCATGATCTTATTGAATGGCGGGGCAGACTCGAGGGGCCAGATGGCCTTCTCCTGCTCCTAGTTCTTATGTTCTTATGGTTTCAATTTCCAGCATCACTGGACCTGGCTGCATCATCAAGAAACGATCGTAGTAATCATCTTTCAAGATAGTTTTCATCACAGTGGAGGAGAGAGAGAGAGAAGACATGGCATTCCCAATGCTAGATTTAGGACCTTGCATTGTGAAAGAAATATTCAGGACAGGAGAGAGGAGGGGCACAAAGAAGATGCCACCAAATCGTTCCATGCAATGTGTTAGGATCACCTCTGCCAGAAATGTTGATGGGTCAAGTCAACTGAGTGATTCTGCAGCTGCAGAGGAATAAGATATGGGGGGCCCAGAGCCAGGCTGGACAGTGGCCAGAACATCAACAAGAAGCAACAGCAGAGGGTCAAAAAGTGCAGGATGCTGGCAACCAGGAGCTAGTGCAACATCAAGCACAATCGAAATACTGCAGGCGATGCAGCTGCAGGCATGTATTGGAGAAGCATTGTCCAAGGAAGCTGAGGATGTCATGTGATACTGTCACTCCCCAGTGCCAGCTCTTCCAGGCTTACCTATGTCCATGAAAATGGGGAGGCAGTCCAATACGAGTAGTGCTGTTAGTTCACTGCAGCTTTGAACTGCTTCGCCAATGCCTCTTTCCAAGCTTCCAATTTGTTTAAATTCCAATTAGTTAGATTCAAAACAGCCTGAGAGAACCAGGCAGATGAGATTCACCACCAGTGCAGGATTTCCAGAGCTGCAAGGGGAATGTGACTACACGTCCTTGTGAGCTCCCTGAGATCAGTTAGCAGCATTCATTAACTGAGAACCTTCACTCTTTGAATGTATAGCTTGGCTGTGATGAACGGAAACAAACCCTTCACGCTATCCGGGAAGTTCTCATTATTCATAGATCCTTACTACCTCATGGGTGCCAAAAGTGTTTGCTCTCCCTCACCAACTGCAAGGATTTGGTTTACTGAGGACAGGGGATACCCACCAAAGCCTGACTAATGACTTCAATGTGGTACCCACAAAATGCAGTTGCGGAGAAGTACAATGCCACTCATTCCTCAGTAAGTGCCACAGTCAAGCACACCATTGGACTGCCGAAGATGACGTTCTGCTTATGATGCTTGGACCACTCGGGCAGAGAGCTGCAGTACTCAGTTGAGAGGGTCTCCAGGATTTCTATGGTCAACTTCAATCACTAAAACGTGGAGGAATTTGCAGAGTGGGTTTGTTGTGTTCCCTTTTAGGAGATTCCTTCGCACTTGATACAAACGCAATACGCCAACTTCTGTGAAAAGCCACAGTTTATTTAAGCAAGTACAAGCTTTGGAGGATCACTTAACAGTCTTCGCAGGGCTTGCGGAGCCATGTCAAGCGATGCTCCCCATAAGGGAACCGTCCTCCCTTTATATAGGTTTTTACAGCACAGTCAGACATGCATACAAGATACAATTTTTTTCTCCCCCATAGTCACGTAACTTAATCATCTAACAGTAAAACAAAGGTTAGCTGCCCAAAAACAATGTGTAAGACGAGGTAGTTCCTTATCCTTTTAGCCTTAATTCAACACTTACAGAGAGCAGAGTATAATTAGATTACCATCTTTTGTCTGCGAGATCTTTTTAGCCTTAGTTCAACATTTACAGAGAGCAGAGTATAATTAGATTACCCCATTTTGTCTGCGAGACAGGGGCGCCCACGAAGCACCTAATTTCTTATATGTCAGCAGAACAGATATTAACCCTTTAACATTTCAGGTTATGGAGGAACCAGCTGTCACCTCTGAAAAAAGGAAGGGAAGGCGATGCTGCTGCTATGGGAGTTTTTGGATGCAATGGCAGATTCCAGAGCAATGGCATGACATAGCTGACTGCCTTATTGTAACCAGCTTCTGAGTGGACGGAAGCACTGCAGTATCTCAACAGCATTAAAGGTTATCACCCTAAGGGAGACAATGGCCTTCTGGTATTATCACTAGGCAATTAATCCAGGGAACCGGATAATGTTCTGGGAAATGGGATTCGAATCCTGCCATTGCAGATGGTGAAATTTGAATTCAATAAAAACCTGTAATTAAGAGTCAAATGATGATAAATAAAAACCGAAAGAACTGCTGATGATGTAAAGCAGAAACAAAAACAGAAATTGCTGGTAAAGCTCAGAAGGTCTAGCAGCATCTGTGGAAAGAAATTAGAGTTAACGTTTTGGGTCAAGTGACCATTCCTCAGAACATTAGTATGTTGATCCTGTGTGTAGGGAAACCTGAAATATTGTGCATCCTACTGGTGTGAAAAGTACTGCTCAGACAAAATTGCGATGTCAGTGCCAGCCAGTTCAGAACACTGTCTGTACGGCACCACCTCTTCCTGCTACCACTAACACAGTACTGCAATCCTTGGCACAAGCATATGCATGTTGTATTCAAAGCTACATTCACTTGTAATTTGGGAGGGAGTCACACATGTCTCAGTGACACATTCACAAATGGTGCCAATACCTTGTAAGGAACTCTATGTTGACTCGCCAGAAAGAATGCAGTGACTTTGGCTACAAACACTGCTCAGGCATATTCCTCAGTCTGATGATAATTGAACACTAACTGCTGGGTTGCCAGCTGTGTTCCAAGTCCCCCAACTTTACAAATGATGCCCCATGTTTAAATGAATTCACATTATGTGAGTCAAAGATGCCACTTCTGACTACGTGACGATAAATGTTGCATCCCATATACTGCTAAACTTAACTGAAAATCAAATGCAATGCCCTTAAACAACCATTGCAGCAACTAACAACAAAATGAAATATAACATAAAAATAAAATGAAATTGAACACATATTTACAAGTGTTTCATCTGTACTTTAAAGAGATATCTGTGACACCCTTCGCATCTTTATAACTTCTTAAATGTTTCTTGCCACTGTGCTTAGGTGCAACCTGATATCCACTGCTTAAGTGGAGGCAGCCTGCTGGCTCCTGTGCTCTGTTGACAATGATGACTTTTGTGGATGTCCTCTG